CGCCATTCGTATAGCATTTGTTCCCTTAGGTTTAGGCTTTGACCCCTATTAAGTGGCCGTTTACACTGTCGTAAATTATCTTACGTTCCTTCGCTAGGAGGTGGATGGGGAGCGTACCCGCAATCACCTGTAGGGCTATCGTTGATGTAGTCCGATACGCACTTACTACTTTCAAGAGGGGTTTTCTTTGAGCTCTTGTTAATAATTCCTTATATTTTTTGAAACTCAACACGTCAAGCCATACAGGTGCCCCATATAGGACGGTGGATTGTACTACCTGGAGATACATTTTTCTTTTATAGGTACTTGGTCCACCTATATTTGGCATAATCTTTGTCATAGCAGCGATTCTCTGTTCAGCCTTCTGAACTACATTTATAAGGTGTTTCGAGTATCTTAAACCCGAATCAAGGTGTATGCCCAGATATTTAGCACAGTTACTCGGTTCTATAATACTACCATTTAAATCAAAACTCAAAGTTAGTCTCTGTTTTGGTCCCTTTAATACTACTATATCTGTTTTGCTACTTGATAACTCTAGGTCATTCTCTATCATCCACTTGTTGACTTTTCTGTAACAACTTGTCACTTTATCTTCAATATCCCCATTTAAGTTAGCTTCTATTAGGATTGCAACGTCGTCTGCATATGCTATGGTGTAGGTGTCTTGACCATAGTCTATTTCTAATACCCCGTTGTACAGTACATTCCATAGGGTAGGTCCCATAACGGACCCTTGCGGTACTCCCGATGAGAGTTTCGCGTCTGAATTATGTGCTATATTCAAGTATCTGTTTGTCAGGTATTTATTTATAATATTTATAATGTATTCTGACACTCCTGCTTCTTCGAGCTTCGTTAGTATGTGATGCCAATTTGCAGAGTTGAAGGCGTTCTTCACGTCGAACATCACAGAATGGCCCATCTTTTTTCCGATCTTTTTACAGTGTCAGAGATCTTCTTCACCGCATCAATAGCCGATCTGGCTTTTCTAAAACCGTACTGTCTATCTGAAAATTTTTCCCAGCACTTCGAGCTCTTCCTCAAGACGTTTCTTTATAAGGCTTTCATATAATTTTCCTATGCAATCTAGTAAGTACAGAGGTCTATATGAATTGGCTTCATCCGGGTTCTTTCCGGGTTTTGGTAATAATACGAGTCTCGCCAATTTCAGTTTATCTGGGAACTCTTGCGTATTCAACAGTTCATTGAATATTCTGCGCATCAACTCGGGTTTCTCTTTTACTACCAGTTTTATTGCATCTGGCGTTACTTTATCCGGGCCTGGTGCTTTTCCTGCCTTTATACTTTCTGCTGCTTGTATAATTTCTTCAGTAGTGAACTCTGCAGGTCTAATATTGTTGTCTATCCGTAGGAATGTGTTGTCGGGCTTGCTTGGAAATAGGGTGTTCGCTATTTCCATCTTTCTTTGTGTACTAAGGTTATATGGGGTCTCGAACCTTAGGTTTTTCATAGCAATCTTATATGCTTCACCCCATATGTCTTCTTCCAGCGCAGCACACAAATCCTGCCAACATGTGCGTTTGGCCCTTTTAATTTCAATACTTAATTCTTTTTTGGCGCTCTTATATGCCTCCTTATGTTCTTCTTGGATCCTGTGTCTTTGTGTAATACTCCTGCGTCTTAAGCATTCCTCTCGCTTATTTTGGATCTGGTCATTCCACCAGCAAGGTACTGTATATGTGGTGTGCCCATTTATGGTACTTCTTCTATGTGCGTTTATGATTATATTACTAAAGTAGTATAACCTACACTTTATAAACAAATCCAAACCGTTGAGTGAAACCCAAACAACATAAGTAATAAAAATATATTTATTTTCAGTCGCTTGTTTGGAAGTAAAACAGCCTAGGTGCGCTAAGGCGACTTCTGCTCTTAACGGTTAATGAATTTCATTTTGATTGTTTTTTCTATTCATCAAAAGATGGCGATAAAGTAGGATTAGAGCACAGTATAGTGCTTAAAAAGAATCAGTAGGTTCACTCTCGCATTTTCACGGTTTCAATTTGAAATCCACTCCTAGGACCGTGCCACATCGTGCGCAAAGGATTTGGCGAAAAATGCCGCTGTTGCAAGATTTAAAATATTCCATCAGTTTCAAAGAATATTCCAAATTTATAATAAAATAGTTATTATAGAAGTTCTTGAAAAAGAGGAAAATAAATTTCATAAATGGTAAAATTCTTCACATACCCACTATACACACTTCTAAAGTTTGAAAAATCATATTGCCTAATTGTGTTTGTGTTTATGCTGTGAAACTACAGTTATTTCAGTAATTTATATATAAATTTCATTTATTTGTTGTTATATAGTTGGTTTTATAAGTTTATTTCGTATTTAATACATATTACTGTGATTTTTCTTCAGTTTTCTAAGTGGTTTTATTATTTTAAACAACGGATTATGATGAATTCATCCAAATCAAGAGTTTATTCTAGCTGTGTATGTAGAAAAAATTCCAGAGACCATAACAACTTAAACTTGAGTTTCTTCAGGTTTCCTAAGGATGAAAATCGGTAAGAACTAAATTCTCTATTTAATATCATTGACATCATCATCGGTGTTGTATTTTTAGGTTTGCAGAATAGAAGAAAATTGTTCAATGTGAAAACAATGCTCAATACTGTTATGATCACTTAAGAATATGTAGTTTACATTTTGAGGAACCGGCCTTTGCAGGAATGCTAAAAAGCAGGTTGAAAAAAAAAACGCAAAACCATCTATTCATCTTGTGAGATTAAACATTCCAGTTCAAGGTATGTTCTTTCTTTCAGGGTAATATTAAGAGAACTAATTTTTGTAATTTTGTAAGCACACACGTGGAGAAGTTACAAACTTTTGCGAGTACTCCGGAATCATTGACATATAGAATTGAAGATATGCATATATTTTTAAAACTAATTAATGGATATTTGTGGGAAATGTACATAACTTTTTTGAACCTTTTAAAACAGAATACTAAATAGCGGAGAAGATTTATATTGCATGTTAGGATTCGATCAATTAATTTTGTACTCAATCTGAGGCCTTCTTCAAGTCAATAAATCAAAATTTGTCTTAAAGGAAATCTATTTTTATATATCATAGTGTATATCATATCATATCTTGTATGTCGCTATATCTTCATTAATATTGAAAATACTGCGTAGTGGCCTTGGTAATTTTTTTATCTGATTTATTCGTTATATCCTCCCCTTTCATTTGCCATGTCGCATGTTAGGATTCAATCAGTTGCTTATTTTGTACTGAACCTGAGTCCTTCTTTAAGTCAAAAAATCAAAATTTGGTAAACATGGTAAATCTATTTTTATTCATAGTACCCTATCATATCTCGTATGTCGCTAGACGTTCATTAATATTAAAGATACTGTGTAGTGCCCTTTCATTTAACGTATCACACGCTACAATGCCGAAATGTGAATTTTTTCTGTCTCGACAGCATTTTTACAGCTTTTACTTAATTATATTTAATTTTGGTAGATGTTGGTAGTTCAGATTTCTTTCCTAGGTGGCGTAGTTACCTTACTGAACAAACAGTGTGACTTGTCATCTTAGCCTTTTAAACAAATAGATTCTCCCAATTTTAAATGTACCTACGTAAAATTATGAACTACGTTATGAACGTAGTGATCCTACAGTGGGATCTTTATGCTATATGACATTTTTTCAGTTCATTATTTTGTTATTAATAAGTTTTAATTGTGAATATATATATATATATATATATATATATATATATATATATATATATATATATATATATATATATATATATTCTAACTTGTATTCATAGTTCGCTACTTGTGTTTTTTATAATACTATTTTTATTATAACTGGTATTGTAAAATTTAAATCCTCAAAATATAATTTATAATTCGATTGTATTATTATTTTTTCATCTATAGAAATTAGTTTTCTCATTAGCTCTTCGTTTTATGAGATTTCTCACCAAAAACAGTAAAAATAGCGTGATTTTCTAATGAATACAAAAAATTTAATATTCGATTAATCAAAACTGATGGATTCAACATAAAACATAGATATTTAATACAGTAATAATTATTTGGAAACTATTGATAATTGTCGAAAACGCTTAATTTAGGAAAGTATTCATTATTCCGAAAATCTAATTAAGTTTTAGGTCGCCACAAGTCACACTTTTTCTATTTATTTTCGAGCAGTGTATTAAAAATTATATTGAGCAGTGTATCAAAAACTGGAATTTATCTGCGCGTGGAGCATGTGCGCGTGAAAAAAATGGAACATGAAGAACAAAGAATTGGCGGTAGAGCGAACCTTTACTACTAAACACTACTTTACTCACAATGTATGTACTATGACTTTACTAAGATATTCAGAACGTGAAACGTCACTAAAGTCGTTTTGGTGAAAATTGGACTTAGTCGGTTTTACTTCTAACCCCTTCATTTGATAGTAAATTTATTTCTTATATAAACTAAATAAAATGTTTAAAGACAATAATTATATTTACTTATATGCAATTAAAACGAGAAGTGTCATAAAAATTTAAACAGATGATACAATATTGTTATTATAATTTGATGACATTTTATGTCTTGTAAATTTTGGGAACCGTTGCAAATCGAATCTTTTATTGATACATATTCTTTCAATTTTTTACTTCTCATTTTCTGTCTGTAGTTATATGTATATATTAATTAAAAACAAATTTTTACTTTTTTTTACAACGTTATCCGTCTATTAAAATTAAATAAAGGTAAGTTAAAAAATATTAATTCTTCTGGAAAATTTATAGCGCAACTCAATCTTTCTTATGCAATATGGCATTAAAACTACCAAATCTATCCGCGCGCCGACTATGATTTACGTTAATTTTAAAATAGACTGAATAAAGGGACCAAGTTTTAAATTCTACGTCGTCAGTAGTAGTCTTTAGAAGTTTGGTATATTCTCGCACTATTCTCGGGTGTCCCTTAGATTCTAATGTTTGTATAGTTGTTATCAACTGTGGAATGTTTTAAACTTTCTAGGGTAATCGGCAGCCTTTGTTAATTCAAATTGAAGTTGGGTAGATCAACAGAGTAAATAAAACAGACCGCTAAAAATGGAGAGGGGCATTTTCGGTTTAAACTTTAACCCGACCAAAATATTATCAACGCGCTTATAAAGTTTAGTCGCGAACAGATGTGCATAGACGTATGTCGTACTGAAACGAGAACTGCGCAACGCGTGTGCTATTACTCGATATTTTTAAATACTTCATTTGTTTACCTCTGATTTCTGTACGGTTTTTGGCGTTTTTTGTTAGATGACTTAGTGTTAGTGATATTACAATGGAATTGCATTCTAGGAACACATCGCTTAGGCATTTGCCAAAAAGACCTCCTATTGATATTGAATTTCACGATGTCAGTTACACTGTGCCCCAAGGAAGAAAAGGTTAGTTCATTTCCTTAATTAATATTGATGAATGTATTGTTCGATCTGTCGGTCAGTCAATTGGTGTAATAGAGATGATTATGGTTTATGAGCGTTTTTATAGTAATTTTGTTCAAAACGGTTATGTTTCGAGTAGTTTTCTTCGAAACCGAACAATGAATTAGTTTGTGGTAAATAGAATAAATTATATTTTACAATCGCTAACCATATTTTAAAATTTAAATAATATTACACAATGGAGAAGTGAATTTAATGTTTTAAAATGTTCTGTATTCATTTCCTTTTTTAGTAACAACTAATACTATAGAGACGTTCATATGTAGAAAAATATTAAGACTAAAGGAAGCCCTGGAGAACACGGTTTTATCCTATTATAGTAAAAGTGATTGTTAGTGTAGATAACATTATTCACTACTGATGCTCCAATCATTATTCCCCAAAAAACTGTCTGCTCAGCTTCTATTACTGATTAATCAGGCCTTAATTGTTATCGTATTACCCTTATCTCGTGCTCACAAATTGCCAGAAGTTTAAAGTATTTTAGACATGTTTTTTTCATCAAACCGAAAACCAAAATTTTGATTAATTGATCAACAATATTTTTACTTGTTGAAGTCATAACATATTAATTAAGGATCTTATTTAATTCTTCTTCTTAGGGTCCTATCGTCTTTTTTCTCACAAGTGTAGAGTTCATTCGCAAATATAGTAACTGACTTAATTATGCAGGATTTAATAGTACCTACCTGCTGGTAAGATCAAAGCTATAAAGGAATTTACCAACTTAAGGTAGCTAACACAAAGGGCCGGCTTAAGGAATATTATAAAACGTATTTTTGTGTTCATTTTATAGTACTTATAAACCTAATAAAGAAAGTGAGAGCATTAGAATTAAATAATTATTTAGTTGTTGCTGTTCTCTGTCGATTATTAATTAAATTTTTTTAAATTTTAAAAGTACCTAGACAATAAAATAATTTTTGTGTTATTTTAAATAAATTTTAAGTAAAATAATAAAATTGTGAAGTAAAAATTAAAATGAATTAATATAGGAAAATGAAGTAAAGAACTTTTTGCAACAGGAGAAAGAAAAAATAAATTATTTTAACGTATCAAACAAGAGTATTAACGTAAGATTGATATATGACAAAGAACAGAAAGCGCAAGAAAAAAAAATTTCAAGAGAATAAAAAGTTCAGTTATAGTGTGTCTTTTGTTAAAATATTTTTTACTGGCAAATAAAGTGTTAAAATTAAAGTTAAAAGATTTTATATTAATAATTTATTAAAAATAAGCATGTTTGAATACGTGTACGTTTAATAACAATGAAATATTGTCATTTCCAAATATAATTTGTAATCCCCTTCAATTGATCGACAATTCAAAATTGATTGACAATAATGAAAAAGATTAGTCAGATTTATATATTCCAAGATTAGTAGATACGTCCTTATCTAAAACAATGTTTTCTTATGTTTATTATTTAACATTGTTTATTTTTTATCAAATACAAATATCTCGTATATTAGATAGTCATCTAACATATTACGAATTAAAAAATATATGTGTATTATATTTATCTGATTACTATTTTGAATGGATAAAAGTAAGAATATTTTTACACATTTCTCTAATATATTGGTTTTGACACACTGACATACGGCATGTCATACCGCTGCCTATGCTCCTTTGTTTTCAATATGAATTTGTCTTATATCACTGTATTTGTTTTTACATCAACTACGGAATGATTCTTCACACTCCTGTCGAGTAAAATACTGCTCCAAACAAAATAAACTTTATTTTTTCAAGAAAATTATGCACGCATGCATAATATTAAAAAAAAATGGTGGATGTCATTAAAAAATCCTTTATAAATTCAATTACAAAAAAATGAGTAGGCATTGGTAATTAAAAAATGGTTAAAGAATGTTGAAAGACACAGACTAATAATATGAATAAACAAAAAATAAATACACAATACTGAAAATAAATAAAATTTACAATAAAATATCTAGAATTAACATATTTTAGTCCACTTAGACATAAGTAACACGTCTTCTTTTTTTCGAGCCTTTCTTCAAAATCTCCTTCTTTTTGGCGTTTTTGTCATAGTATTCATTCAATATAACATATCAATTCTTTCTGGATTCTGGGATTTTCGAGTGTTCTCTGAAGTTATGGTAAAACTAATTGCTTCGTCAACTCCCTTGTGTAGTTTAACCTCTCCGTATTTTTAGAGGTATACATTTTGAACCTACACCTTCCCCTAAAGCCGACCAACATTTCATCAATACAAACACACGTGCCTACGGATTACAGTTTTTGAAAAATTGATATAAATATATTAAATATGTTACTAATGACTGCTTTCTTCTTTCCTTTAAATTTAAAATGGGAAATACCTGTGAAATTAGGTATTTCCTTTACTTACAACCTGCTATGTTCAATTTTATTTCATCGTCACATAGCACACAATAATCGCAGAAGTGCCATTGAAAAAAATGCATTCATTCTTCAATGACAGTTCTGGAATTATTATAATACCTTTTCCTTTTTCCATAACCTAATCATTTTTTAGGGTCAATATCTTTGTGAACTTTCTCTAAAAAGTAAAATATCTTAATAACATTGCAATAATCCCATATTAAATCTATACACCATCGTTTTCGCTTGATTTTCTATCCCTAGTGTATCTCCTACTCCTCCTCATGCAATCCTTGACTTGCTCTAAAATATTTCAATGTTGGTCAATAGTAATTACGGTGTTTCTTCAAAATCATGATTTAATCAACTTGTTAAATATTGGTGTTATTGACTGAGAATACACCGATGCAGTCATTAACCAGAAAGCTAGGAATATGATCGTGTTTAGGTTAATTGTATTTAAAGTTAAAACGTTTTTATACCAACAAATTTCAAATATAAAGTTTCACATTATTAAATCAAGTCAGGGTATGAGTGGATTTGACTACGCTTATAATAAAGTTGCTCCAATTTTAGTTGCCTCTCACAGGTTAATATCTGACTCGAAGGACCATACGTATGTTTGTTGTGTAACACTAGATGTGTTAGAACACATTTGAGGTTTAAATAGATGGGGTTTTATCTAATCACTACACACTCGTAAATATTTTCTTTCAACCGCTGTTATTTTAAGTTAATTTATATCAATAAAAACGTTTAAATTCAAAATTTTTGGGTTAAACAGTTCCTATCAGGATAAACAGACCCCACCAGGAGGTTAATTATTCTTTTAGTTTTCTGAATGCTGGCTGTGATAGTATTTTATACCTTCATAATGTTAACATTTTCAGAAGTTAAATACATGGTAGACAAAAAGTTGCAAATGTATAAACTATATTTCGATAATCTTCGTATTAGTTGTTTCCAAAAGATATTGGGCTAGATATTCTAGAGTTAAATTTTTTGACTCAAACTTTAGAATTTTGCTGGATAAATCATTTGGATATATCATTTCCACCGATTGAATATATGTATATGCTTAATATGCAAGACTAATTTGCCGTTTCACTACTGAATATAATTCTGTAAATTTAGTTTAATTAATAATTTTAAAACTCGCGAAGTTGATGGAAGTTCAGCGAGTACAAGAGTGTAGTCAGGTACTTCATGCAACTTCGCTTCGCCTCGTTCTACTTCCGTTCTGTATCGGTCAAAGGGCCCGAAGTTCGAATACGAAGTGTCACACTACATTACTCGACTTCACTTTACTCGATATCATTGCTAGCGCAATAAAGCCTGCCTACCAACACCGACTGAGATTTTTCGGCAATTCAATGAGTATGACGTAGGGAGTCACCTCGCCTCGATTAACTTCATTTCGACACTTCGTCCGAAGAACTTTGATCGATAGTGTAGAAGGCGTTTAATATTATTTCTTATAACATTCAGTGAAAACCATGGAGGATAGTTTTTGTTATGAGTACTATAATATAAAGGTACAAATGACATGAAAACCTCATTTAAAATGGAAGAAAACAAGGATCGTATTAGTAAAAACAAGCAGAAACCAAAACATACCAATTGTATGCATAGTGTATTTATATTAACAATAAACAATAGAATATTGTACTATGCAACAATACAGTATTTTGCAATATATTTTACAGAGTGATACTTGTATCGTGATTTTTCTATTATAGTTTATTTTTATGAACGAGAGAGTAATTAGCATAATTTTAACTGGTACCTTCGACCACTCCATGGGCGTGCTCAAGATTAATTGAAAAATTACTTTGAATAATTGTAAAAAATAAATGAATTATTTCAGTGTTATAAAGTGTTTGTGTATGTAAACAAAAGTGACCTCTTTTATCACACACTATATTAGAACTGACTGGCCTACATTAAAAAGGGTTTTAAAAAATTCACATTTTTTTTTAATTTTTAAAAATTACAAAAGAGAAAAAGTGTTTTTAAAACCGTCTAAGGTATGTTAAATAGATGAATAAAAATATTAATATAAAACTTACAGCTACTTGTTACAAATCCAAATCAGATTCAGAAGATGAACTTTCAGAACCAAGATTTATAATAACTGGCTCGATCATTTTATCAGTAATATTGTCCAGCTCCACATTTTTTTCTCTTCTTTAATAGTGTGATTTACTGCCTTATCCCAGTTTTCAGGTTTTACATTATTTACGGCCTCCAAAAACAACTGTTTAACATCATGAATTTTAAAAGTGGTATTTTTTCTTGAAACTTCACTCTTTATCTGTGCCCACACCAGTTCAATCGGGTTTAATTCACAATGATATGGTGGGGATCTAAGTACTGTCATTCCACGATTTTTGGCAATTTCATCAATTTCGTATTTTTTAAATTTTTCTTTATGAAGGGCACACAACGAATAAAGTTCCTTTCTTATAGATCCGGGATGGTGTACGTAATATTTTTTGAACTCAGCCAATTCTGCAAGTCTGTTTTTAACCACTTGGTTGTGGGCAGTCCTTCTATAAGTCTGGAGTGATAACTTGCATTATCCATTACTATTACACCGTTCTTAGGAAGAAGATCTATCATTTGTTCGAACCATTCTTGAAAGACATCAGCGTTCATGTCTTCATGGTAGTCACCGGTACGAGTTGATTCAAAAGTTAATAAACCACCTTCAACAAAACCGTCTGAACTGCCAATGTGTACTATTATCAGTCTGCGTCCCTTTCCTGATGGTGGGTTTAAACCAGTAGATAAGTTATTTACAAAAGCGTGCCTTTGACTTGTAACAGTTTCATCCTGCCAAAATTTGTTTGGTGTATAACCCTCGTTGATCCATGTTTAATCAAGATAAAATATTTTTCTTTTTTGGTTTCTCATTTCCTTTATGGTTCTTAGAAAATGTCTTCTCCATATGACAATATCGCTTCTTTCTAATAAAATAGACTTTCTGGGATTCTTTTTCCAGCGGAAGCCTATTTCTTTTAAAAATTTCCATAACGTACTTCGACTCATTTCTGGGTAATCCTTATCATCTCGAACTGAGACAAGAACTTTATCCAATGTTGGAAATTCTTGTCTAAAGAAGAATTAATGCACTTTCTGTCGAAGTCCTTCTTTAAAATGATATTCTATTTGAAATTTTGGTTTCCCTGGAGCATTACGTGGCATTTGAAAACTACCACATTTCTCTTCCTTAATAACTCTGTAAATCGTAGATTTCCCAACACCAAGTGTACTGCTAACTAACTCAACGGTCTCATCAACACTTTCACATAAACGTTTGTCTGTAAATGATTTAAAACAATTAAATATTAATGTTTTTTCATTAACTGTTAAAGGACCAATTTTTCGGCGTTTACACGGCACTTCCAAATTTTCCATAACACTAGTATACACAATAAACTGCACCTTGCAACTGAAGTACCTACTTTTAGTGAACTGTTAAGAATTTTGAATACGCCACTTGGACCTTCCTACAAAATGGAAAAACCCACTATCACATTTTCCGTGGAATAAGTTTAGAAGGTAATTATCTAGTCAATTACTGTCGTAGATTCCTGGAATTAAAGAATTAAATGTTTGATTGTTGAAACCCTTACTTCGTGGAATGCACTCATTTCAGATAAAATAAAACGTTTTATTTTATCTAAAGAATTAAACTTTATTTTGCAAATAGGTAGGTACTTATTAAACTTTTATTGGTTATATATAACCAATAAAATAAACATCTTACATTTCTTGCAAATTCATTAGTACCTGTTAACCTCCATCACTCCGACACTGGCAACCTTATTTAGGGATTAGTAACCCTCACAACTATTGTATTCTATTCTGCTCCAACCTTTATACCTGGTGGTCATACTCAATTTAAAATTGTTTTCCTATATACTTCTGTAAACTTGTTGACAAATATCTGTTTTTCATTGAGTCACCCGTATCAACAGTTTAGGGATTTGCATACATAATTTATTGTTTTATTACTCTCTCATACATAAAAATACACTATAAATCCGTTGCACTTTATCTATTAGATGTTTAATTTGGTAACACTGCCCTGTTAAGAATAGAAGTCGTATTTGCAATTTTGAGTTTTTTAGGTTATAACGTCAACACATTGATAGCCAAATAATCTACCTATATGTTAAGAATGAAAGTCCCATCTACTATTTAAAAATAAATTATTACACTTTAAAATTTTGTCGTATCTGCATTTTTATAGTTTATGTTAAGCCAATTTGTCGAATCGCTGTTTGTTAAATTTTTAGTTGTATCTTCACAAGACCATTTGTAGTTACGACAAAAGTGCTTAACAGTTAGCTTTGCTTAGTTTCGACAAAATATTCTAACAACAAGAAGATCTAACCTAATCATCCATAGTGTTCCCGCCTTTTTAGTTTTTTAACCTAAAAATTTAAACGGTTATAAGCGTTATTCGGCGTATCTGATTTCCAGTTATTTACTATTATTAATCTTATTGTTATAGTGTTTTTAAGTGTGTTTACATTAAAGTTTATTAACGAAACCAGTAACAATGGATAGAAATAGCAGAGCATTTAAAATGCTGCATATTTTAAATAACCAATAGGGAGAAAATATATAGTTTACGATGACGTGTCGTGAGGAAACGTAAACTTCAGCATGATAATGATCCCGATTATATTTTGTCAGATTCAGAGACCGAAGAAATTGAGGAATCGAAATTAAACAGAAAAGGTTTAAATAAAGTAAAGGTTATTAGTGATATAACTTTGAGAGCTGCAAATTTTGTTCTTGAAGAATCTGATTCCAAAGGCGAAAAAGAAGGTAAGGAAGACTCCCTTTTATTCAAGAAATCTTGGTAGATATACTATATGTATTGTTGAAAGGCGATAAAGGACAATCTAACTAAAACAGGGAAAATCCGTAAATGAAAGACATTTAAAGAGAGCCTAGCAATAAGAAAAAAATTAAGAGCCACAATTGCTAAGCACGGTGTAAAACCATCATCAAGAGAAGATGTTCCGAAAAAATTACAGAAGCGAGACGAATAGAAATAAATGGAACATTTTGGAAATTGCAAAAAGACGAACAAAAAAATTATATTTTTAATAACGCATCTGAACAAGTAACCAAACGGAAAACCACAGTGTTGTGTCTAGAAGGTCGAAAATTTTTTATAGTTTCTTAAAGACAATGATGGATGCAAACAAAGTGTCTGCAAAATATTTTTTATGAGAACGCTGGGATATGACAAGAAAAATGACACAGTTATTAGAGATGCCCTTATTAAAACAAATTCAAAAGTGACGGTCATCAGGAATTGGCAATTCGTCGTAAGCATTACGCCCTCTAGCGGCGATTGCAATAACCGAGTTAAGAGCCATTATTTATTTTCTTTCACGTTGAAGGCCATTTGATTGAAGGCATATTGTGTTTTGGTGTCATTGGAGATTATAATAATAATAATAAAGGTCTTTATTTTTCCTTCAAATTCATACAATACACAAAATATATAAAATTATACATGCATATAATAAAATAAGAAAGAAAAAATGCCGAAGATCAGGTGGTGGTGCTGATTTCAAGAAATCAGTACCTCTGCTTTTCATCTTAACCAAGAGAAAAAAAATGTAATATATTTTTTTACATGTTCTGTAACAATCAAATAAAAAACCATAACTAATAGAAACATTTAGCATTTAAATATTGTCCAAGAACTATCACACAGTTTATACATATTTCATAACAGGTCATCAAATAGTTGCACATGTTTTAGTCACTTAGCAATTTAGATTAAGAGATTTCTTAAAAGATATAATCGATTTTAATTTTGTTTATTTAATTGATAGTGTATGTACTTGTGTACATATGATAGAGTATGTATTTTTACTTTCTAGTCCAGAATAGCACTCTTTCCTCAAAAGATGCAGTTGTGCAAGTGAACACTCCAAATGTGCTTACATTGTATGAAATCGTTAATGACATTAAATTAAAAAACTGTACTTGTGTACATAACTTCACTATTTATAACTGTATAGTAAATATGACTGAAAATTATATTAAGGACAAACGAGTTCATAGGTAAACATTCGACAGCGGATAATGTTAGTTCTTACAAAGTTTAAGTTAAATTTGACTTATGCCACTTTGGGTTCTTTGTTTGGTATAACAGCTGACTTAACAAAAATTTATATTTATAAATTAATACCTATCTTGAGCCACAACTTACGGCCTTTGGTGTATTTTCCCACCAAAGGAGAAATTCTTAAAAACATGTCACTTTGTTTTGCTGATTTTCAAAATGTTAGGCTAATTTTGGACTGTACTGACATTTATGTACAGACTCCAAGTGTTTGTGTTGCCGAATACTATTTTATTCTCAATATAAATCCCATTTAACAATTAGTTTATGATTGGTGTTTCACCTGGTGGGTTAATAACTTACGTCAGTGAATTTTCCAGTCAAAATAAGATAACCGAGTTTAAAACTTGTTCTCCTTCTACAGCACATCTTGAATTTTTAGTACCACCCAAAAACTTACATATATTCTAAGATATTTAACTTAAGGATTAAAAAATAGAACTTTAAGTTCTTGTTAACTCTTTAACTCTAACAAGTCTATAACTAAAATAAAACTTATAATTAACAAAATTGTCTATGTATTAATCAGTAGGAATAAACAATAGTCAAACAAAAAATATTGAATTTAAAAAACCATGGATAAACGAACAAAACTACTCCAAAAACATAAAACTAACGCAATCGCAATATACAAGATGAGCTGTAAACAATTATTATAATGGCTCTTAGCTCGGTTCAAATTGATACCGCATTAGCGCTGCGATCTTAATCCGAATAGTCAATAAAGAAGGAAAGACAGGAAAAATTAAAATATATCGAAATATTATTAAACAACATATAGAATCTTTCAAACCCACAGAACCACACTACACTACCGTCGTGAACACGCACCAGAACGACGTTATCTTCCCAGTGACATCACAATAAAAATGATGTACCAGAATTTTATTGAAAAATATTCAAATATCAAGTTTTCGTATTATTTATATCGAGAAATGGTCGTAACTTTAAATATTTCATTTTTAAAATTAGGACACGAAGAGTGCTGGTTGTGTGAATCATTTGACTTCATTTGCATTTAAAATCCACGTCTCACAAAAAGGATGCATTGGTGTATAATTGTAAGGAATGCACCAACTTTGGTGTATATTAAAATAAATACACTGCTGTCAGATCAGAATATCAGACTGACTCGTCTGCCAAAAGTAACTGGGACGATACATCAATGGTAGTTTCAGTGGATTTGCAAAAGGTAATAAAATATTATATTAATTATAAATGTTTTATTTTGTTGTGATATTCTAGGTCATAATGCTTTCGAGAATGGATATATTTAAGGAGATTATTTTTACACCTAGAATAATTGCTTTTAATAAGAGTTTTGTCGTCACTGCTAGAAAGCCAACAGTACCAACTGCAATTTGATGGCACGAAGGAATATCCGGACAGAGTAAGTCGGATATTGCCAGCACATTCTATAAATTTTTTTTTGTCTCACCGAGACGTTAAAGATGTTATAATGTGGCTTGACAATTGCTCTGCTCAAAATAAAAACTGGTCTCTGTTTACTTTCTTTACGTTTATTGTAAACTCTGAGGATATCTCACTTAAAAAATTAAGTGTTAAGTATTTTGAGCCTGGTATGGCCAGGCTGCGGACTCATTCCACCACCAAGTGGAACGCTCCATTAAGCAAATGGGTAAAATATACGATTTTAAAGACTTTTCGGATGCAGTAGCAAATGCAGCAAGTAATACTAAAGTAATTGTTATGCAATTCGTTGACTTTTTTGAATGGCAAGATGGTACTTCTGCATATAAACTGAATAAAATTAATTCCAGGTCATACCTAAATCAAATGGTTCAAGTAAATTTTTCTAGAGGTAAATATACTTTTTCGTACAAAACCAGCTTCACCTCAGAGACATAAAGTGAAGTAAACATTCTAAATGCAAAGATTGCAAAGCAGGGAAGGACAAAGCCTTCACCTAAGTCTATTCCTAGAGGCATAACGACTGAAAGAAAACAACTAATTATATCCAAACTGTGTGGATTTCTAATTTCAAAAACTCTGAAAGAAAATGGCACGCATTCATTAAATTTCTACTCAAAAAATATATTGCTATGTTGTAACAAGATTTTTAATGAGTCATTACAGTTGATGGCAATTATTCAAATCTAAAACATCGAATATCTCAAAATAGGGATTTTGTCAGTTACGACTTCTATTCTTAACAGGACAGAATAGCTCTAGGAATTTAAAATTAAATCTATGATAATATACTTTAAAAAGATATTTTTAGATATAAATACAGTGTTTATTGACAGTGTTTTAGGTTTGTTTATATTACACAAACCTTTGTGATACTACTAATAAAAATACTTTTTCTCTCGAAGATTGGCGATCCAAATGGCAATTGCATTTTTGGAAACTGCTTCACGAAAGATACTAAACTTACCAAAATATCTCTCTCCAAATTATATCCGATTTAGATATAACATCATCATTTACTTTCATTTTTTTATAGCAACCACATTAAACACTGATATTTCAACAACATAGATATCGAAAGCACACACTGAATAAATAAGACAACCAGAGCTACATGCGGGGAAATAAAGTATCAGGGCCAACACAGGAGAAGGGTCATCACAGGTCACTTGCCCTGTGTGTTGGGTTTTAATGAGTTCTTTTTTTTTTTCAAAAATATGTCATTCGGTTTAAACAATATGTTTATATGAGATTAAGCCCATATACGAAATTATGGGATTACGGTATTACGGTGGTATTAAGGCCATATTCCCTAGTTTCTAAACCTTTGGCGTTCGGTTTATTTACGACGGGTCACCTTGTATATTCATATGCTAGTTTTTCTCTATATTCTATGCATTTACCGCTAGTTATTTTTCATGAAATTGCAATTCACGTTATTCAGTTAATTATTTTTATAATGATATTTATGATTCATGTATTAAAATGAATAAACTTAATGTTCTAATAGGTGTGCCGGAAAGTTATTTATTATTATAACAGTACGTGATAGTTTACTATATATTATACAGGAACTATAATGTATATGTAGGTTTTGTTGTTCCATAATTCAACAAAACAAGGAATGTTATTGAATTTTTCAAAATTTCGTCAGCCAAATATGAGAATATGACAGCAGTCTACAATTGTCGCTAGTTAACGCTTTCACGGACAAGGTGATTTGGCTGTCTAATAGTTTTCGTTAAAAAAAAAAAATAAAAAATAGAAAAAAAATTTTTAAAACAAATTAGATGTTTTATTTAACAATTTATTTATTTTAAATAATACATATTCGTAAAGTACGCAAAAACTACAACTAAAAAAACAAAATTTTGTAAACCATTAAGAAAAACCAGAGATGCAGTAAACAGCTCCTTCCTCCTCCTAGGCTTGCAAGAGTTTCAAAGCCAGACGATTTTGAGAACCACATCGTGAAGCTATTTTGTTGAAATGTAATTTCTTTCAAATTTCTCACCTTAAAACTTTAAAGTATGTTTTTTAAATGACGTTAATTAGATATCTTAGCTGTTATAAACAAAGCTACTGTCAATTAAAAACAAAGGAATAACTCCGTCCCAAATTCTCCTACGACAACTTTTTTTTATTAGTTTGTAAAAAAATGCATTCTTTTTTTCCTGTAGGCAACAGTAAAAAGGTTATTCTAATTGTTTATAAGCAAAAAATCGCCAAAAAATAATTTTGCAATATTAAAAATGGTCGGTTTTTTTTTTTGTTTTTTTTTTTTAAATA